TGAAAAAAAAAATCAAAAGAAATTCTTAATCAGTAAGGATGCTGTTGTAGTCCCTACCGCAGGGAACACGAAAAAATTTTTTTTTGAAAAATTTCGACTGCCTGAAATAAAAATCGTTTTTTACGTTTTTTTTTAAATTCCTGAATTTTTTTTTTAATATTAAAAACAAAAATTTTGACACGATGCTGGTGGGAACGATAAAGGATTATATAAAGAATGTTCGCACAAAATTTCAAGTAAATCGGTTGTATAGAACTTGAGATAATGCCGGTACCGTGTGGAAAAGTGTAGTTTCGAGAAAAACGCGTTTAAAAAAGTGAGTCAAATTTCAGACAGTCTAAGTGAATTATTAGTGCGCTAGGTACTGCGTCACTAAAGTAACTATAGCTCTTAAAATAATTTTAATTTTTAAAAATCCTTTGGAATTTTTCAAAATTCAAGAGTAGAATACCCCCTTAACAGAGGTTTCACTTGCACAGCTTAGAACACTGGTTGTGGTAACTAAAAATCCAACATAATAAATGGTGATCCCGACTAAAAAAAATACAGAAACTTCAATTTAATGGGGAATCTTTAATATCATTCSAAAGAGCATTCTTTGGCATTTATTTTTTGAAGATTATCTTTTTCAAATRTTAGCCACAGCTACGTCTAAGATGGTCCATCCGCTGAGTGTAATTTTCGTTGACTCGTTCGTGCATTTTGACTGGCCGCATTACTTGGTATGATATTACACGATCTTGATGATCTATCTACCGACCCGAAACGTGAAATTATCTGCTTACCGAAGTGTTCTCTCAATAAATCCATTGATTGATGCGATCTGTAGGAGTGGTGCCGTCTTGTTGAGACCAAATGTCGCCGATGTGACAAGTTTCAATTCCAGTCAGCAAAGAGATAGTTATCATGGCATAATTTTTGAAGAAATAACACCAACAAGATTTTTTTTCTGAATGAAATGACAGCTCTTGAACGTCTTCAGTTTGCTTTTCGTACTTCATCGGTGAACGAAATTTGGCTGGAAAACGTTGGATCTTCTTGGAACTTTTCAAGAGTTTTACAGCCAAAATATATCGTTTGGGAAGGTCGAGTGGCTTCAGTTCTAGCACAAGCCGTATGTTGTTCCCTTTCAGTTCGATCTCGACGTAAAATGTACCAAGTCGTTCCATGCGTCAGTTCGAGTTGCTGCGAACGACGYCGAATCGGCYAACCACAATCTTTGTGTACGCACCCAGCTACGGTTGCTATATTTTCTTTATTGTACGCTGRATGTGGTCTATTCAGTCGAATATTATCCAAAAATGAATGAAGGATCTCAATATAGGTGATGGTCCTAGGAATGGCTGATTAGGTCAGTTTTGTTGATAACATTGGAACTGATCATCAATTAGTGCCTGCTTGGYGCAAGTGAGATCCATTAGTGCAATGCTCGAAAAAAGACACCAATGGAGATCCAACTTGGTTCCAATCCGATGTGAGCAGGGGTGCCCCCTCTGACTAGCTCATTGGATTTGCAGTTGGCAGTTCTGTTGATGAGACCGCTTGATGATATTTCTATTTAGGATAGACGCTCCTTAACTATCTTCGAGCGCTTAGTTAGCGAGCTCAGCACTAATATTGCCACCCTGTATTATATTAACATAGTATTAATAAATTCATGTCTTCCATTTTTGCAGCTCGATTTAAATCCAACTTCAAAAAAGCGGTGTTCCAACACGACGATGCCGCCAAAAAAAGAAGAGCCCATGTTGCGTTTGCAAACCTTTGTCTTTCTTTTATTCATAGCAGTAGCTGGCGTAAGMTGCCGCAAAAACCAGCTTGAAGAAACATTCGACATTCGAAAAAGCAGTCAGGACGAGCTATTAAATCGCCAAACAAGCAAAAATGATTCGTTCACTTCGTTTAATAACAGTGAAATTTCTAAAATGAACGATAAWAGTAATCCATTAGACAGTGTTGTTATCGTAAGCAATAGCTCTAATTGGGAGACTGTGGTTGTCTCTAGCGAGAGGAATAATTTCAGTGAGAACACTGGTCATGATCACAACCAACTAAATTTCAAAGATGCTCCGCCAAGTTCATACAGAARGCTGCCGCGCCATCAGAGAGCGATTGCCGCAGTTGCAGAGAAGAGAGGCCTRCTAAAGAACTCCGATGGTGAGCGTATCCTACGACGTGGCAAAAGATACTTGGAATTTGCAAAGGGTTCACGTGTTTCGGTAAGTAATTAAGGAACTGTGAATATATATTTGCTTAGTCGACATAAGTTTGTTTTATTGTTTTTGATAATACACCTTCTCARTAAGGTATTATTATTTGAAACTAAGCTTAGTTAGCAGTTTATGGAGTAATTGGTAAGGTCCTCCCATCAGTCTATTGTCTACTGACGTTGTACTCGGTGATAGCCTTACTCAAATCTGTATGCTTCTCATATGWTGAAATTGGACCCGACTCATAAAAAAAAAGAAAATATTTGAATTCATTCGTTTGATGAATGTAAGGTCCTGAGATATGTTGTCAAGCATCTCTTTGGCGATCTCTATTCGATTGCGATTTAGCAAAATTTAAGAAGACTAGGCGTGCTATTTAAATGGATCCATCAAGTTTAAATCGACAAATTTGATCARCTAGTAAACTCGATCTCCCTATATTTAGCTTTTATCGAGGTCTCYACACAAGGCGGTCATATATCTTTGTATACTATTTTTCTTCCTAGGATAACTACATTTTGTACTGCTTAAACTATATTTATTTATTGCTGATATCTTATTCTTCTTCTTCTTCTTCTTCTTATTTAATGGCGTAGACACTGCTTACGCGGTTATAGCCAAGTTAATAGCATCCCGCCTGTTCTTTTCTTTTCACAATTTGGCGCCAATTCGAGATATCAAGTGCAGCCGGGTCTTTCTCCATCTGATC